ATAGCTCACCTGGGAATGATTTTCTTTGGCAAAGCTGCAGGTTCATTGCATAGGTAGTGTATATTTAACTCAAACCCACTCAGAGAGTGCATCTACACATACAGTTAATGGAACTGAATATACACCAGCTCAATTTGAGCCAGAGTAAACTAAACCCGACCTTGCTGTCTACACATGCGTTTAAGCTTAGTAATTTACTGTGCTGCTGGATACCACTTGTATCTGATGAAACTATCCGGCTATGCAGTAAATTAGTTTACTGCACCCTAATTGCTGTGCATGTGTAGATGTTGATGCTTTACTATGCAGCAAATTAGTTTGCTGTACAGTAAAGAGTTTTATGTAGACATGCCCACTATGGCACTCTGTCCCCCTCTAGTGATGACTGCGCTTGCTACAGCCTTGGCTAGCAGATGCTGTCAGTCCCAGAGGTCTTGGTTTTAATTCCCATCGCTAGTGCCATTGTAGGGAGCAGATGCATTTTTCTCTGAGGTTTCTCAATCTCTTCCTGTTTTGCAGGAAAGAGTTTTATATTTGTTCAATGACCCTGAATCAGAGACTAACAGCTCAATGAGGAGGAAGCAGAAGGCACAATAGCAATAACACCCTTTTTTTGTTATTCCCTTTTACAAAAAAAACCCACAAGACAAAAATTACAATCACAAAGTTAAATAAACTTACAGTATTTTTAGTAAAGCCTTGCCCAAATCTCTCCAGATTTGGAGCTAGGAACTTTGTATCGTAAAGTGAAATGTCTTGATTGGCATAAACTATATCTAGAACTATCCAAATGCATGTAAAATATAATGAGTTTTCTCCTACCCATACGCTGTTTTACTGTAAGCACATTGGGATATTCTAGATCATCCTCCTATGCATTGCACCCGTGTTCTTTTGTGTATTCAGGTTTGCAGGAATTGCTGGTCCAGAACAATAAGTTGTTTCAACTCCCAGGGAATCTGGACAGTCTTCAGAACCTGCATCTTGTCCTGCTGGATGGGAACCCAATGATGGACCCTCCAATTGGAGTGTGTAACCAGGGGAAGCTGGCCATATGGAAGTATTTAAAGGAAAAAAGGGAACAAAAGCTGAATGCCATAAAGGTAAAAGCTTTAAAAGTTGCACCATGATACACATCTAAACTTGCCCTTTTAGCAATGAACTGCTATTTTACAAAACATTCTGCAGGGCATGCCCTGCAAAGCCCAGAAACATCTTAAAAGCAGTGTATTTTTGTAGCTTTGTGGGTGCAGTATTATTAAGAGTAATCATATTTATCATGGTGCAGCCTAAGGTTCAACCAAGAATGAGGCAAGCACAGTTTTTAGCTTCCATGAGTTTAGTTCAAGCATAAATTTAACACAGGTTTACTCCCAATGTGGTCCTATTGGTGCATCATTAATCACAGCCATATTATTCAGTATCTCCTTGTTTTTCCCCCTTCTTAAGATAATTATGCCCTCTTTTCCAGATCCAGGCCTGGTGGCGTGGGCTACTGGTGAGGAAGGGATGTGGGCCTTTTGCTGAGCTTCAAAAACTGATGAAAAAAGGGAAGAAAGAAAAGAAAGGGAAAGAAAAGAGGAAAGAAAAGCCTGGCAAAGGAGCAAAGGGCAAAAAGAAGTAATTTCTTATACAGCATGTATATCAAACTGCTTAGAACTTCTGTAAATTCCAAGAATGACACTGGGGGGTGGGGCAGGGAAAAGTCAGTGCTAAAACACCCAAGCAGTAAGTACTACAACTACGGTGAATACAGCTTTGCACTCTAATGGCCAATATTGTGCTTGTCAAAATTCCTGCAGTTGAGTGAAGCTGGATTTGGAAATAAGAATTTCTAGCATTACGAAGTACAAGGGCGAGTGATTACCTGGAAATGAAGCCTATCCGTGGAACTGGAATTGATTAAGTGTTCTAAAATTTGTTTCTCCTACGATGATGAAAATGCTCTTACAGCAATGCGTAGTGTCTTTTCATTGCAATGAATCTAAAACAAAAGCTATGCCTAAAACACAGCTTACTTACTGAGGCACAGCCCCCTCTAGGTAAAACAATCACTGTAACCATCCTAATCTTACAAAAATGTCAATAGCTAGTCAAAAAGCATCTCACAAGTTTTTTCCATAAGGAATTATCCTTTCCACTGAAGTGTTTTATAGCAGCTTTTGGTCATAGGATATTTGGAGTCTGCAAGGCAAGATAGATGGAAGTAAGCTTGTGTAGAGCCTTCTAATTGAAGACAAAGAACTTGAATGTGATGTAGTGAGAGGCCCCAACACTTGCATACGTGCTTTTGTTCAGTAGAAGTCAATGTGGTTTAAACACATGCTTAAAATTAAGTGTACGTATTTTCCTGTAGGAGCTCTTGCTTTGCTAAATCAAGGCCAAGAGGAGTAACTGAGAGTAGAGATGATTTGCGCGTGAAGAAGGGTTTCTGCTTTGAAGACAATCAGGAAAATTGGGTTGTAGAGATATTAGAAAGAATAAATCAAAAGGATTTAGACAGATAGTGGGGTCAAAGTGAGAGGATTTTCAGTGGAGTTAAATATAAAAAATATAAATTTTTCTCAGTATGTCAAGCAAGAGCAACCAGTGTTAACTCTGATGCTGTCAGGTTCTCGGCATTTCCATATTAGAAATAAGATCCTGCTGACATGATACTCATTGGTAGAAGTGGGTGCATGGACAGCACAGGCCTCAAAAAGTATGTCAGCTATATGCAAAACAGGAAGTGGAATTGAAGCTCTTTCTTTCTCTTCAATGTCCCATGTTGTAATCTGTGTCCAGACTCACCAGCATGGAATTGCTCTGTTGAAAATAATTCACTGTGAACTATAACCATTCTTTACTATGTCTCAACAGACACATACTGTGACTTCAGTCTCACCTCTTGTGTAGAGTGAAATGCATTTTACAATCAAGCTGTAACTGGAACCAGGAAGTTCACAGGGGCACCCCGATGAAAGCATAGACTAAACAAGAGAGAAGGGCAAACAAAGTGACAGCTTGCTGGCTCTTACAATCTGAAGAGGGGTTTCCTCTGCAGACACTGATCTATTTCCCGGGCTGAAAGCTGAAAAAGACCCTTCAAACACAGAAGTGCTTTCCCGGGGTGGGGAGGAGGTTGCCTACTGAGCTAAATGACTAGAGATGAATGGCTCTACAGTCTCTCAGCCATTGGGAAAAGGCTTCTGCATGGAGGCATCCTTGGGGCTAATTTATTACTCAAACCATCCCAAGATTTCATAGGGCTTCTCACACAGGGGACACATTATGATATCCTTAGTTATTTAATATACCCTATGATATGTATATATAAAGAATTTACTGTGGGGTAAAAAACAGATATGGCTTTACCATTTATCAATAGCTGCCCATGTGCATGTTCTTACCCCACAATACATTGAGGATAAACTGTAGTAGCATAGCCCTTGATGAAAGAGAAATGAGTTCATGTAGTTTAGTTACTTGTTATCATAGGATGAGAGCATGTACATATGCAGTTACTGCGAAGCAGCTGATATAAAGTAACACCCCACTATTTTGTCATGCAATAAATTGTCCATACATCCATATCCTAATCTGGACCAAAGTACCACTCAATAGAAGTAAATGTTTGACAATCTGGATCTTGGTAAGGCTACAATTAGCATGAGTAAGGCAGTCTGAATCTGGTCCTACAAATGAGAAGCCATCAGCTTCAGCCACTTAACTTAGAGAACACTAATGAGAAACTGTAAAAACAAGAGTAAAAGGATCTTAGTCCTCTTATGTCGCTGCTTGGTTTAATGCGTCTTGTAAGCTGAGACCAGGGCTATGTGCAATGAATGCCTGAAGCTTGTCCCAGAGTCTCTGCTGTCTTGCTCTATGGTCTTACATAAAACACTCCACTAGTCCACGATGCTGTTCTGTGTCTATATGACAAAGATAATAGCATTCCCTCCCCATGTCACAGGGGGGCTGTAGAGGATGCGATTTGAGGTTTGTGCCTACTGTAGTAACCTGATGGGATGCCTAGTGAAGGCATTGGAAAGACTCTTATTTCAATGGCCAGTGCTTTAGGCCTTTAATGCTAGGGTGCTGTACCTCCTGAGAGAAGCAACACAGAAGGGGTGGGTGTGAGGGCAGTGAGGCTACTGCAATGACTGAAACACCCCCACTCCAAGGAGGAACAGCCCGCAGGACTCCTGTATCTTATTGCAACCTTTCTCAAGATACCTGTTGGTTGCTTTGCAGTACTGAGAAAAAATGGGCTCTCTGTCTCCAGCCTGCTGCCTACACTGAGGTCGCTTGCAAAGGGGTCAGTGTCTGGCTGTTTACCTCGGTTTTATGCTGCTTCTACACAAAGGGAATTCCCCATCAGCTCTCTAGCTCCTCTGTACCACAAGAGCAGCAGAGGGGGCAGAAAATGTTTCAATTTAAAATGTCGAACATTAAAAGCAGACAGATATTTTATATTAGAAAAACACTGGCATAATACGATCCAAGGCATATCATATTTTCTCACATATGATGCATATCTTTTCCCCTAAAAAGCAGCTGCTGAAAATTGGGGTGAGCTTTATAAACAAGAAAGATGGTATAAGCAAGTTCTTTCTTACTGGGTGAAACCAAAAGAAAAATTTGCAGTGATCCACAGGGAGCAGAACAATGTGCTGGCTCAGCTCCCTGCCTGCTGCTGCTCAGTTCCTTACTACAAGGAAAGATTTTTTCTTGCATTCTGCCTTTCAAAAACAAGGTGTGTATTGTATTCTTGGGCATGCTGTATGTGAGAAAGTATGGTAATTTACATCTTTGTAATGCTCTGGCTTTCTGGGAATGACAGCCAGAGTCAAGATGCAAATGGATTTATTAACGAAAACTGGCAGTGTTCCAAGGCAGAGTCGCACGATACATTGTTCCTGTTGTGCTGTTTGGAAAGGCCTTCTCAGAGACTGACACCTGGCCTCTGTAGTCAAACCGAACGTTCCTTGTGTTGTCCCGATTGAAGTACTCCAGTTGTTTTTGCTGTGCTCCGGAAAAGACCCACCTCTGGATCCCTAACTCAGTGAATGCCGGCATCTTAGGCAAAGCTGTTAACAACTTGCCAAACCACATCCCACAGTCACGACATGATGATGGCCGGAGGCTGACATCCAATTCAGAAAGTTCTTTGAGTTCAGCCAGGTCTTGATAGAAGGTGGCCCATCCTTCGTCACAGACAGTGTCATTATAACTCAGGTCCAGTTTTTGTAGTTTAGCTAGGTGGCCTGTTCGCATCAGTAACGCTGAAAGATACAGCCCCCAGAATATACAATGAATATATACTGACAATAATTGCTTTCAAAAGCTCATATGGTATTTTACTACTAGGCTATTTAAGGCCTTTCAGTTGTAAAGCACAAACATTAACAAAGATTAATCACTCTGGACATGTCTACACCTGCATTAAGGCACTTTTTCTAATGTGAATTTAAATTAGTACCTCCAATGTGAGGTATTTAAACAAATGTGCATTAGGCTGCCTTAATGCACAGTAATGATTGTGCATGATTAAGAGATGCTTAATGTGCCGTAGCCTATTTTACTGTGCATTCGTGTAATAACAGTTTTTTATGTGATGCTTTAATGTGCAATAAAACAGGCTACTGCTCATTAAAATGCATGTGTAGACATGCCCTCTGTGATATAAAACCTTTTGATCTGATAATCAGATATACTGGCCATTGGCCTCAATGGACTATTTTATCTCAGCTGAAGGTGTATAATTTACAGCATATCCAATTCAGAAGAAACTGAGGGACTACAAAGGGGTCAGATTGAAAGTGGATGACAACCTCAGAAGTGGAAGGTAAGTTGGATGAAGTACAGCATTGAGTATGGGATGAAATGAGCAGGAAGGTTTTACAGTGAAGTTTGGAAAGAGAAAAAGTGCTAGATGAGGCGCCACTCAACAATACAGCCAGCCCTCACTGTGGAGAGGCCAGGAGGGAAGCAGCAGGAAGAGACAGATAAAACTGATACTGATTTTTTTACAAGTTGATATTCATTTTCCCCCTAATGCATAACTCCAGGAACTGGTGCTTTTAAAAAAAAACCATGTAAAACTGTGAACACTGGCACCACTTGCCAGTAATGCTGACAAAATATCCAGGATCTAGAACTACTGAGCCCAGCAATTGTGTTTGTACAGGCAGATCTAAATTACAGAACAAATCTTTATATCATACATTTATCTTCTTCTAAGTGTTGCATTTGTATATCAATTCAGATAGCTCCATTCCATGCATATTTATCCTGCAGGATCTACACCCTTTTCAGTTTTTGCATGGTGCGTGATGCAGAGAAAACAGCAAAATGAAAAACTCCTTGACGGAAAAAAATACTGCTGCATTCTGCCTCCTGTCATCTAATTTGTTCAGAAATCAGCTATTCCCACAGAACAAGTCCCCTCTGAATTGTGGTCTAAATGCAGTGGTTGCTTGAGTGTTAGTAAATACCGTATTACACATACCTAGGAGAGCCAGATCCCCAGCTGCCAAGTTGCAGCTGCTCAGTATCAGTACTCGAATCTCGGTTGCAAGCTTTAGTGCTTCCAAAAGCAGCTTTAGGTTTCCACCAACGCACTTGTTCCAAGAAAGATCTAATATCTCCAGTTCAGGAAGGTGAAGGGCAGCATCAGCTGAAAAGATTAACATCGACAACTTCTGTTTACTAGAAGAAGACATCCGTGTCTTAATAGACACCCCCTGTCTAGTCACCTGTAAATAGGCTTGTAGTGCATTATCTACTTGTGCTTAGAATGGTTTATTGGATCATAGTAAAAGTCAGAAATGTTTCAAATATTTTTTAAAGAATGAAAAATCCTGTAAATCTAGAACCAGACTTTAAGACAGACAAATCTTTTTCCTACTTATTAAAAAAATATTAGCAATACTGGCCTTATCTCTCCCCAAATGAAGTCAATCTAATTTAAAGGAGAAAATCTTTAACTATTTTAATCCAATGTAAATGCAATTCTTTCTTGAAACCTATTCCTGCAAGGTGAAGTGCACTGTGTTTCCTGACCAGGCTGATTTTCAAGAGATCAGTCTCTCACTATTATCTAATTAGAATTTGCATTTCTGTAGCATATATCCTGCCAAGACATCAAATCAGTTGCAGCCTGATTGTGCCTTCTCTGAAGCCAATGAGCTTTTGTTATTGATTTTACTAGGACCAGCATTAATAAACAATTGTTAATGTGTAAGAATTAGTGTACCCCTTTGGATGCAGTTTTGACCGACGCTTTAATGACCGACGCTGTTAATGTGTAAGAATTAGTGTACCCCTTTGGATGCAGTTTTCGCATTCCCTAGCAAAGGGATTCAGAACAACATCTCATCCACGATAGTCTGCAATGGCTAGATATGAGACTGGTTTTAAGCATTCTTTGTTAGCTTCAGGGATAGTTTTGTGTCTCCTCATGGTGTTTCAATGTTGTTCTTTTTGTTTGTAACACTATAATCCCTGTCTCAACCCCATCAGTGGCTACCTATTGTGCCTAATGGGGCCAAAGAGTATCTTTTGGTGTTAGCAGAGTGAAATGAGAAAATTTCAGTCAAATATTGAAGACTCATGACATTTGGTCTCTATTCTAGACATGTACTAAGATCCCTAGAGCATTAGCTTGGCAAATATTAAGAATCAGTTTTAAGTAAATAATTATTACACTAATTACTATAATTCCAGTATAATGTGAGGTCCTGGACTGTAGCTTTCTCTTCTAAAATTAGGGAGTAAATTATAGGTCTTTAGAAAAGGAAGAATTAGCAAGCCTAGATGAAATCTGGGACCAGACACAGTGGCCTAGGAGGCCCTTTCCAGTCCTATGTTCCTAAGCGTGATGTGGGAAGCTGCAGTTACAATGTGTGTCAGTCCCAATTTACAGCACTTCTTTGTGTTTCACTTCAAGATTTCCCCTTGCCATCTGGCCAAATTGGTTTTGTGACATGAATGAACAGACATGGTCTGACTAACAGATGTGCTGTTGCTTATGATTTACACCAAAATCTGACCACAGATCTTCAGAAGCCCATCAAAGGATAGTGAAAACTTCTTGACCTTTCTTGTCCCGCTACATAAAAATATATGATAATAACATAGTGAAGAAAAGAAATCCCTACCTAGTGATGCAAAGGAAGCTTTCTGTAAAGAGCAATTGCTGATGATCACAGATTTCAACTTGGGTAAAAATCTGAGTCTGCTGAGCAGGTGATCCGAAGACATGCCAATATTTTTATTAGATGATAAATTCAGCTCTTGAAGGCTTGAGAGTAAAGGTATCACTTGGGCTTAAAAAAATAAGGAAATCCTTATTAGATCATCACTGTGTTGCGTATACTCCATAGCTGAATTTTTGTTTGCTGCAATTTCTTTTCCATACCCAAAACACGGAGTCAGATTCACACACCCATGCTCATGCTGGTAGTACTTTCCTCCATAAATAGTCCCATGGTTTTCAATGGGAATATTTATGGAATAAAGAGTTAATTCCACCTCCCATTTTGCTAATCTCAACTGCTACACACATGTCCTATAACAAAGTGAAATTAGTGCTCTTGAGAGGGGTTTGAACAACAAAGTCTTGGAGTCTGAAATCTTGTTTCTCCACAAAACAGAGACAGCATGAACTACAGGGCAAGCTTCCCCTCCATCTTCTGCCTCTGCTTCTGCTTTGACTAAATTACTCCTGTGAGTCACAGGGGAGTTCATTTTCCCCTCCTATTCATCTCCTGAAGCCATGAAGAGACTCAAGTCCCTCAGAAACAAGGACTTTTCACCCCCTGCTCTCTCCAGGGCTACTGATTTTCTGCAGGTTTTCTGAGAATCTATCCACAATGCTTATGCTTCTTTCATTGAGTTATATCCCATTAGTGTGCTTGCCTATCATTCATAATGTTATCATCTTATTTAGCTCTGAGATAGGACCATCCAACCCAGGATCTCAAAGCACTTCACCAACATAAGAGAACTACTGGTAAGCATCTCAAAATGTCTATGAGATAGGTAACACTAACCTTATTTTTCAACTGAGGCTAGCTGAGGTGCTGAACAATGCCAGATGTAAGTCCTCAGTACCTCACAGGATCAGTGCCTTGGTGATTTGCCCAATGTCAAGACTCCCAGCCCAGTGTCTTAACTGAAGTCCATTTTACTATTGGTCAGGTTAACTCTCCACTGCACTCCCAAAGCTTCACAGAAAAAAAGCAGACCTGACTATTGAAATCTGCTGGAAAGGAATTAAATGAGACTGTCCTCTGTCTCTGAGACAGCTTCAGAAATTATATACATATGTATTCTCATTGGATTTCCTAACAAGGTTCTTACTGAGAACTGCCAGGTCCTCCTCTGTGACACAGCACTGGTGGAGATCCAGAACTTCAAGGTCTTTTAGATTGGCCAGATGAGCTGCTGAGTCCTCAAACCCTCTACCAATCTCTCTATTGCATGATAGATCTAATTTTCTTAGCTCCAACAGGTACTGGAAGGCAGTGTCTAAAACAGAAAAGACCACATTCATGGTCACAAAATATTATGCTAACACAGAAAGCAGATTGTTGCTTTAATGTTTGTTGTCCTAAATTTAATGTTTGCAAAGGGCATTAACATGACAGCCCTCAAGACTGAGCTTCTCCAGGTAAACATAGCAACATTGCAGAATTTC